TGGGATTGAGAGACACCTGCTCCCACTGTAGTCCCACACTGTGACCCTCACCCTCAAACATGAAGGTGTCAGCCTCCGCTCTTATATCTTCATCTGACAGCTCCTTCCCATTTTCTTCCTGGAGAGAAGACAATGTTCCCCAAATCAAACTAGCTGTCAGGGCTTGTTAGTCTAATCTGTGGTCATCCCTGAAAGTCCAGCATCCTTCCTGAAATTCAAGCTCACTCTTCATAATTAGACCTCTCCTGGTCACCATCACCAGAGCCCCTCCCCACTGGTTCCTCCCTGGGTCCCTTGCCTCCTGTTTTGTCCCTGGTGGGAGAAATCAATGATCCATGAATATTTTCATGATTCCACATGATGAGAACTTTAAGGAGAAATTACTGGCAACCTGGGTTACAGGATGGTGGAACGGCAATTTGTCTCGGAAGTTAGAGATTAATTATTGCTCCAAAGATATTTGTGCATATTCTAAGTGGTAGATCCAGAATCTTATCTCCCCTGGAAACCCATTTGGGTTGTAAAGCTGGAGACATTGCCATCTTACAGGACAGGATTTCAGAATAAAGTGTTCTCTCTCTCTCTCTCTCTCTCTCTTTGTGGGTGTGGGTGTGTGTGTTTCTCTCTCTGGAAGGAAGAATGGGCATATGTCCCATCTGTTCTATATCATTTCCGAGACTCATCATGTGTGTGGCCCTCTTATGATGCAAATTCTGCCACACAAACAGGAAATACATTGCGCTGTCCTCAAAGAATTTGAAAATGGGGAGCCAGAGCTACCATCCTACTCTGGCTGCTGTTCTTGCTGCAAGTAATAAATGAGCTGCTCTTAGGCAGGGGTTTGGTGAATCTGTCAGCACAGACATAGACCTAGACAAACACACAGATACAGATATATAGGCATAAAAAATGTGGCAGACTAACTTGCTAACATATAAATAGAGTAAAATCTCAGGCTCTTACCACTTTAAACTTAGCAATCTCCTGCTGACTGCACTCCACAGAGTCATCTCTAGAACCTGTCTCTGACCTGTTCTCCTTTTCTCCAATAGTTTCCAGGGCTCCCGAGTTCCCCCTGGATCAAGTCTGAGTTCTTCATATCTGACCTTTGACATAAAGATCCATTCTACCCCTTGGATGCAGGCCCCAGAGCAGCCCACCTTGCTCAGCAGGAGCACATCAATGAAGTCCAAAGTCTTGGTCTTGGCCTTGGCCTTGAGGAAATCATCAACACCCTGATCGGGGAGGGTGCGGCGCCTCTCCTGGATGACGGCGTCTGTGAAGTCGTGCACCAGGCGACAGTCCCTGAGGAAGCGCCGCCCGTCGGCAGTGAGATAGTACAGGAGGTCCACGTGCAGGACGGGATGCTGTTGCCTTTTTGCCACAAGGGCGCTGAGCTCCAAGATGGCAGCAATATACTCACTGGGCTTCCTGCAGGATGAGGACATAAAGGAGGCAACAATGTAACACACCTGGCATCAGAAAAGCAACTCCCACCAGCAGCTGGAGCTACTTCCCATTAAGAGACTGAGTGTCCAGAAACAGACGGTCTCACAGATACACAGTGGGTATCTCCAAACTCTCTTCCCTCCATCCCATCTCAGTCCACACAACTCAGACCTCAAGCGTTTCCAACTGGTTCAAGGCCCAGTACTTTCTCTATGTTCTTTGCATCCAATGTGAACTCCATTTATTGTCTACATGATGTCAGTCCTTCGGAGAGCTCAGCTCTGACCATGCCCATCATCAATGCAAAAACCTTCCATACTGGCCTGGTAACCTCATGATGACATTCATATCCCTTTGCCCAGTTTTTCTAAGGCCTTGAGATGTAGGATCTGTCTACACCTCATTCCACTGTCTGTTGCCCATGCTCTGCTCATCCTAGACTTCTTGCCTTAAATATATCTCCCTGCCTGCAAGACTATGGTTTCTCTCTGTCCTACCCTGCCCTTCAGTGCCCAGATCTGACCCACCTCCTCAAGGAAGGCTTTTCTGGTTGCCCTGGCCAGTCCTCCCTCCCCTACCTGTTCCCTAGGATCCATGGGTCAAGTTCCCAGGCCCTGGGCAGGGACTCACTCCTGACAGTTGCTGTCGAAGCTGAAGACACATTTCTGCAGACTGTCCAAGGTCATGAGGCTGATGTGCTCAAACATGTCCAGA